CCATTATAATTTCTTCATAAGGAAAAATGAACCAGCACCTATTACACTGTCAACATAAACAACATTTCTAATGGAAAAAATAACTTTTTCAAATACATTATGTATTTTATAATTATAAAAAATATAAATATTCATGAGATACAGTATAATATTTAGATACATATGTATACTGGGTAATGATCAAATCAGTATAATTAGTGTATCCATCACCTCAAACCTTTATCATTTCTTTGTGCTGGTAACATTGAAAGTCCTCTCTTCTAGCTATTTAAAGGAAATACAATAAATTGTTATTTATTAGAGTTACGGTACTATACCATACTATGTAACAAACACTAGAACCTGTTCTTTCTATCTAGCTGTAGTTTTCTATTCATTAACCAACCTCGCTCTATTCCCTACAACCTCCTCTTCCCAACCTCCAGTAACCACTGTTCTGTTCTTAGCTTCTGTGAGATCAATTTTTTAAGCTTCCACATGTGAATGAGAACATGCAGTGCCTGATTTAGTTAATGTAACGTAACGTCCTCTCCAGTTCTATCCATGTTGCTACAGATGACAGGATTTATTTATTTATTTTTTGAATGGCTGCTATTCTGTTGTGCATATAGATCACATTTTTTTCCTGTTCATTCATCTGCTGATGAACACACACTCAGGCTGATTCCATATCATGGCTACTGGGAACAGTGCTGCATTGAGTATAGAAACCTCTATGACATACTGGTTTTCTTTCCTTTCAGTATATACCCAGCAGTGGGACCGCTGGACCATAGTTCTATTTTTAGAAAAATAATTCTTCTCCAAAACCCAAAACATTTTGTGAGGAAAAGGGATACTATTTTACAGTTTTGTAAATCTCTAAATTTTATAAATTTTGATGATAAAATATGGCTTGACAGGAGAGAGGTTGATTTCATATCTGCCTCTGTATTTACCTTGTAATACACGCTTTTGCTTAAGTATGTTGAATATAGCTTCACGCAAACATGAAGTTGGAAATAAGAGGATCTCAGTGAACCCCTCAAGGGTCCTGAGGATTCCCAGGGTTTCTCAGGATACACTTTGAGACACATATATTAGACACTTGTTCACTTAGACAACAGGAAAAAGACAAGTGAGGCCATTTTATCTGTACTTGTAAACCACTCTTGTGATAAAAATAAAACTGGATCCTAGGAGTGGTGTTTCATACTTATAGTCCTAGCAGACAAGAAGAGACAAGAAGACAGAGACAAGAAGATCACTTGAGGCCAGGAATTTGAGACTAGCCTAAGAGTACAACCCCATCTCTACAAAAAGTAGAAAAATTAGCTGGGCATGGAGGCGAATGCCTGTAGTCTATGCTACTCAGAACAGGACTGCTTGAGCCCAGGAGCCTGAGGTTGCAGTGAGCTACGACACCACCAGTGCCCTTGCTCAACCTGGGTGACAGACTAAGACCTTGTCTCAAAAAACACCAAACAGGCCAGGCGCGGTGGCTGATGCCTATAACCCCAGTACTTGGGAGGCCAAGGCAGGTAGACTGCCTGAGCTCACAGGTTAAAGACCAGCCTGAGTCACAGTGAGACTTCACCTCTAAAAATAGCCAGGTGTTGTGGCGGGCGCCTATAGGAAGCCTACTCAGGAAGCTGAGGCAAGAGAATTGCTTAAGTCCAGGACTTTGAGGTTGCAGTTGCTGTGAGCTATGACACCAAGGCATTTTACCAAGGGTAATAAAGAGAGACTTTGTCCTTAGGGAAAAGAACAAAAACAAAAAATAAAAGACAAAACAAAAAATACGACCTTATTAGATTTTGTGAATTTTAATTGTAAATTTATAATTTCTTACAATGAGCAATAGATTTGAAAAGTAAGCAGCTTCTTAAAAAAGCAAAATGATCCATTTCTCCACTACTTTTTCAATGCTCTGTGAAAACAATAACAGAAAGAAAATACCTGAATTCACTTATATAGTATGACTAATAATTTAGAAAGACTTTTATCTAATCTGTGTAGTGTTGTATATTATTCAAAGTACTGTGAGACATACCCCATTGGATCTTTAGAACTTCCTGTGACTGTCACTGGCAACTATGTATTCTTTCTTACCTCTATCTAGATGTAGGACGCAAAATAAAACATTAACAGTGTGTAAAACTTACGTGTAAGTTTATAATGATAGGTACCATGGAACACAGAGGGAGTCATGATGGCAAAAGAATACATAACTCAGGACACTGGGTTTAGCAGGCCCAGGCTGGGTTCAAACCTACCAACCCCAGAACATGGGGCTGGCACTTTACCCATTCAGCTACAGGTGCCCAACCCATAATTTAGGACACTGGTCTCCCAAACCCTGACCCTTTTCCCTATACCACAAAATATTAAGGAATTAATTTCTTAAATAAATTTTAATACTTTATACTTAAGCTCTATTCAGGTTCTGGTGTCTGTGAAGTAAATACTGATAATTCTTATTCTCTAATTGGTTATGGAAAACTTGTTCTTTGCTCTTTCCTAGAAATTAAGGTCTGCCCCTGGTTAAATCTTCTGCAACAAACCCAGAAAACTAATTCCAGCTTTATGATTTGAGCTAATGATGAAGATAAAATAACTTGCAGCCACAGATCTCAAGCAGACTGTACCTTCTGAAATGAAGAAGACAAAACCAATGGAAAACTGGGGAATTGAAGGTTAAATTTTAAGTACTTCTATTCTAACATCATCAAAGAAAGGGCTGCTTAGGAAGTCCACTTACTTCTTCTCATGTTCTGGAAGGGTTGTTTGTTTGTTTGTTTGTTTGTTTTTTGAGACAGAGTCTCAAGCTGTCCACTCTAGGTAGAGTGCCATGGTGTCACAGCTCACAGCAACCTCAAACTGTTGGGCTCTTGCCTCACCCTCCCAAGTAG